CTTCCCCCCTAAGAAAAGCAGAAGATGAAATTTTGTAATTTTTGCTTGGTTCTAAGAGACGTGCGCTTTCAATTGTGTTAAGGACCCAAGTTCATTTTAACTTCAAGTGTGATTATTGCAATGTCTACCATGTGAACAAGAGCCACCACCGCCTGTGCCTCAACGATCCAACGGGAAATGGCCATACCACTGTAAGAATGCTTGGTACAATCACATCGAAAACGAATCTTTTTATTGATCTGCTATTCTTTTTAAGTTTCTAAGATCTGTCTTTACTGTGCCAATGGCTGATCAGGAATACCGTGATTGCGTAGATTTTGGCCGTTTTGCCAATCAACACATGCTTGCTGTTACAGGTGGTTGTCAGAAGTTTATAAATTCAACTGCAGTGTTGCAACTATCTTGTATCTTTGTAATACCAGTCTTGCAGGTGAGGGAGTTCGCCTCGTTCCAGAGATCCCTTGCCTCCCACCCTATCCTTCTTTTGCACCAGGTTTGAACCAAAATTCAATAACTTTTAAATGCCAAGAAAGTTTCCGCTAATCTACTATATCGCTTCTAAATTTTTTAAATCTTTGCGTTGAGCTTTAATTTCTCATGCTGATCATCACTTCACACCTGCCGGTTGCGTGGTAGGTGTAGGTGGTGAGTCGAAGTTAATACTGACTGAAATTTGGTCTAGATGTTTTATTTGTCATTGTGGATCATAAGCATCATACTCATTTAGTGTCGTAACTTATTGCTCGTTTTCGCACCATAGGTCTTCGTGGACTTTGGCAGTTGTACTGTAGGTATTGAAATCACAAGTCGTTTAAAAGATGATTTAACGGGGTTAGTCGACGTGCTAATTACGAATGTCTTTTCCCTTGTGTACTATATAGCCATACTACAGGATCATGATAGTAGAAGGTACCAAGTTGATTCCTCATCCAGAATCCTAGAATGTGGCATGTTGGCTTTTGACAAACGAAAATTGCATCGACTCTTCAATTTCAGGTTACGTTAGGTAGTCGAAGTCGCGGATTCTTCCTTCTTAGAAGGAAGGAGTATTCGGTATTCGCTAAACATTAATATCAGACTTATTTCGCACCAGCACTACTTT